GTAAGGTCTCTGAATCTGGGTTTCAGATTCAGAGGCAGGGGTACGTGGGAATTGAACCTTTACCTGATGGTAAGGTCTCTGAATCTGGGTTTCAGTTTTGCTCACCTTTCGACACCCGTTAGCCGTTAGCCCAACAACTGGGAGTATGAGCATATGTGTTTGGAGGCGGCTGATCCCGTCCCGTCGCACTGGACCCACTGGACGCGGACGGCTACAGCGCCACGCGCCACGGCGATGGCTGCCTGCCGAAAAGACATCAAAGTGTCTCGCTCCCGTCGACATCTCATAAGGGCTGTAGCTGTCGCTGACGCCCGTAGAGCGTCGGAAATATTTTCCGCGTCGGAACTCCACATGAGGGGCGTGGTGGAATGACGGGGTTGAAGTCCATTTAGAATTTTGGCTTGTCAGGGTATCTGCAGAGCAAGGGGCTTGGTAGGGCGGGGGGGTAGGAACAAAGTGATCGAACGGAACAAATAATAAACGAACGAGGTGGATGAGCGAACGGAGCGTCGAACGTCATTTTGACTTGGGCGTTCTCCCTCGGATTAATCCCAGTGCGAAATGAATTTTAAGCGATATCGAATTGATATCAGAACGATATCGTTTTCAAGCCTCTGACTCAGAACTGATATGAAAATGGGCCCGAAATCGACACTTTTCTGATGTGCGATATCGTTCTGATATCGATTCGATATCCGCATTTCTCACTGGGATGCGCCCCGACTACAGAAGACAGTTTTTTTTGTGTGTGTTTTTTTTTTTTTCGAGTAATATCGGGTGCCCGGGAGAATACGGGGCAACTTGATGGGTTGCCTACGCACTGGCGTGCAGGCGCGGAAAGCGAGGGGGGAGTGGAAGATGTGACGGGAGGCGGCCGGAGCGGCCGGTTGCCTCTCGCCACCTCCTCCGCTCTCCCCTTGCGCTCCTCGCCTGCACACTAGTGCATAGGCAACCCATCGAGCTGCCGCGTATTCTCCCGGACACTCGGTATATCCGACGCCCCCAGGGTGTAGGGGGCTGCTCAGGAACACTCAGCCGGTGAACGAACGGGCAGAGAACGTCTGAACGAACGGCTGCTGTGATCAACGGGCCCCATTGGCTCTTATGGAGTGTCAAAGTGAAGTCATTTTGACCTTAAAAGTCAAAATCTAGCCCTCCCAGGTACGGACTTTAGACGTCGTATTCGAAAGTTGCATTGTTCATTGTTGTTGTTGTTTGTTACTTCTTACTAGTGCTACTCGTGCTACTAGACGTACCTATTTCTCATCGACACCCACGCTAGTCTCGCACCCAGGTCCTTCCCTACGGAGGTCGGCAACAGTGATTGCGATTACGATTGCAATTATTGGCTCCCAAACAAAATGACGGGGCGGGCGTAGTGCTCGGCGTCTTGTTTTCGTTCTGTGGATCTCGTCTGCCGACATGTAGGCCACTGCTTTACCTTTTGGATTTTTAGCCCCTACACTCCTCAGGTATTTCAAGTGTGAAGAGTTCATTGTTGTCGTGGTTTTCATTCATTCGGTGTTGAGCTGTGTTGTTTACGCTCCGTGTGAAAGCCCAGTAGTTCACTCGGCACAGTCGAGCCGCATTCCTCACTTGTAACAGTTATTATCAGTTAAAAGCAGTAAAAATCAGGGAGTTTGATGATAAATACTGTCCATTAAAAGTCCACTATCGTTTATAGAACTAAAATGTTTCACGTTTACTGTTTGTTTATGAAAATTTCATTGAGGTTATATGTAAATGCCAGGTGTCAATTTGTGCCTTGATCATTCTATGAATTATGTTAAACTTTGACACCTGTCTTATGTTTTCTTCAATTTCCCTACGTTGTGTTTCTTTATGAAGTTAAACTACGATAAAATTATAGTCAAATTTATTTTATTTACTTGAGTGTTACGTCTCAGGGCCTGGATTGTGTTTATATTCTTCATATTGAAAATGTTCCTTCATCTCCTTATGTTTCTTGATCCCGACACAGCTATACTTTATTATTATCCTTCCTTGGCAGATGTTGGTTAGAAATAGAACGCACTAGATTCTCCATGACAAAAATCTTCTGTTTCTGTGCATTCTCAACCTGATGATTGTGAAACGGATTCATCTCTCCTCTGGGCACTATGCCGGAATTATTGTTCGGGATGGAGTGTGAGTCAGTGAAGTCTGTGTTGAGTGATCATAGCTTAAGGTCACAACGATCACGACCTCACTCATACAAGAATAATCATCGGAACCATTCAAATCGGTCTGGAAGGTACTAGCTGTGGGGATTTGATTTGTTTAGTTGAGATTTGAGTTTGATGCCAACCTAAAGTAATTTGATTCAACAGGAACCACAAAAACATTGATGACAATATGGCACCATTTCAAACAGCAGTTACTCTGTCAGATGATATGAGAGATGGCCAAGAAGTTATTGAAGTCCAAATCCTTCCTCAGGTTTGCGTCTTTTTTCTGGCAACAATTATTTTTTCTACTCCAAGTATGAAGTGCTCCTTGATCATTACTTCCAAATTTGCAGGATGACAATTGGGGAGAAAATACTACTGCAGTCACTGGTAACACTTCTGAGCAGTCTGGTTCACATGAGGATCTAAGTCAGTGGATGGGAGAACCAGACACAGGGTTGAAGTTTGCATGCCATAGGTATCTGGGTCCAATACTGACAGGGATATTGTCAGTCATTGCATTTTTTAGTCCTTTAGCAATGGTAATTTTACCCAAACTAGGTAAGATTTCACTTTTGGTTTTTAATAACCGAAAAAACTGCCTAAATTTTGCAAATGCTTGAAGTATAAAAACTGTTTTTCTCCTGCTTTTCTGTTTTAGGCTTCTTTCCAGCTGTGGCATCAACTTTGACCCTTCATCAAAGGCTGCAGTTGTTGGCTTGTGGTTCAGAGTGCAAAGGACTTCTAGTTTCCATGGCCTTTAAACTAGTTCTACTTGCAGCAGGAGCTTGGGGTGTCTTTCTCAGACGACCAAGAGCCACAATGCCTCGTATTTTCCTTTTCCGAGCAGCAATTTTGGTACCCTATTGAATATTTTAATCTAATACTCAATATTATGGTGTTTTTCATTCAAAACAGATGTATTGATCATGTCTTTAATTTTGTTCCTATCCTCAGGGTCTAGTTTTGGTTTGCACCTTTGCATATTGGCTCTTTTATGTAGTACAAGTAACTGAAGGTGCTAGAGCATCAGCCACGGGAGAGGGAGAGGCTTTAGAGTATAGAGCTCTTGTTGCATATGCTTCAAGTCTTACAGATACGTTACTCTTCATCTTATTTGTTGCTGTTGTTCTTATTGAGATACGTCATTCTCAACCCATGTACTACATAAAGGTACGTGTTTTCTATAATTTTTAAATTAAAATTCTATTGGTCTGTATGATTAATCTTGTTTCTTGGCTTAATGTTCAAGGTGGTACGAAGTCCAGATGGTGAGAGTCGATCTTATACGATAGGTCAGTTGAGTATCCAGCGTGCTGCTGTGTGGGTACTAGAGCATTATTACACAGAGTTTCCCATCTACAACCCTTATCTGGAAAGATTGCCTGTGTCAAAGTCGCGCAAAGCATCCTCCAGCTTCAAATTTTATGACTTGGATGGTCTGAACGGAGGCACTCTTCAGGTGAGACTGTTTCACATTCTACTTAAAATGCCTTAAAATGACCTATTTTATACTTAAAATTAAACATGATTTCTTTATTTCTTAATTAGCACTCAAACTCACGCGCCATGCTTGCTGCTCATGCCAGACGAAGAGATTCCAGTCATAATGAGAGATTTTATGAGGAACATGAATATGAAAGAAGGGTCAAGAAGAGACGTGCTCGACTAATAACAGCTGCAGAGGAGGCTTTTACTCACATTAAGAGACTGCACAATGATGCTGGTATGCTATCGAGGAAAATTGTTTGATTTACATGTGTACATGTGTGGAATGAGAATTAACAGTTTTGATATACCTTGCTAATTTTAGGCCCAGGTCTACCCATGGATCCTACAGAAGCTGCCCAGGCAGTGTTCCCTTCATTGGCTAGGGCATTGCAGAAATACTTGAGGCTGACTCGGCAACAGCCCCAGTATAGCATAGATTCCATTCTCACTCACCTGGCAGAATGCTTGAGCCATGACTTAACACCAAAAGCTTTTCTTGAACCATTTTTTGTTCAAGCTCCTGTCCTACAGGTAATTGTTGCATCATGTGTATGCTTTTGTGTGGAATCCCTTCAGTAGATAACTTTTGCCTTGTGCAAGTTTTCATTTGGTACCTTTATTCTTAATTTTTCAGAATGAAAAGGAACAGAAAAGTGTGCAAAGTTGGTCACTGGTCTGTGAAGAGCTTTTGTCTCGACCATTGAGGCATGGTTTGACCTTCCAACTACGACAGTCAGATGTATCTCTACTATGCACCATCAAGCAGCTCCCACACTTTAACTTAACAGAGGAAGTGGTAGACCCCAAGTCAAACAAGTTTGTTCTTCGCTTAAACTCTGAGACCTCAGTTTAAGATCTTTAAACATGATGGAAACCTAAACAAGAATGAATTTCTATGTTTGTTTGTATTTTATTTTGATTCTTTGTGTGGTGGTACTGATATTACAAAATAATTCATAGCTTCCAGTGAAGTCAGGCAATCCTCATGTTCGGTTTGCCTTAAATCACATGCATATTTTATACTCAAAAATATTCTGTACTTAATTAGCAGTACTGTTAATAAGATATGGCATAGTTGATCTAAGACTACTAGTTTGTTATTATAATATGTTGTCCTTTTATATCAAAGAGATATAAGGGGTGCAAATTTAGTATTTTCCTTAAGTTTGATTCTTAACTGAAATTTATTTTTTCTTTGCAACTATGTGTGTTTTAGCTGAGCTGTTACTATGTATTCTTAATACATCTGGTGCAATGTTTGATGCATTGCTACCCCAACATTGACATTAACTGTGTGAGACGTAACAGTTCTGTCCTATCTATCTAAAGAAAATAATTTCCAAATTATCCACTTTTTTAAACAATTCAGTATTTTAAATGTTGTCTCAAACTTAGTTATATTCTTTTTCGTTAATTTTGTATGATATTATTTATTTTATTTATCAGTGTTTATGTGGATTACGTAGCTTTTTTTCTTTATAAATGACTGATTTGTGGGCTTCTCTCTTTTTATATGAATTTTAAGTTAGTGCCAATCATTTTGACATATCTTATATTGCACAAATATTCTATTGTTACATTACTACAAGGACCATATACCATATTATTACACGTTCCAGAACTGTCAAAATTGTAATATCTGTATTTGTTCTTTCTAACTTAGCAGACAATGGCAAGAATCCCTTTTTGAGGATTCTAATGATGGCCAGATTGTGCCTTCACATCATTTCTACCTAGGAAAAGTAGGTCTTTTAAGTTTACGTATTTTCTACCACACACATCAAATTTCGTGCTTCCATGAAAAGCATTCTTGTGCTTTTAGGAGATACTTCACAATATTTTCATGAACCAAATGCTGTCCTTTGACTTATAATCACATATCAATTTTAGTTTATTTTGTATTGTGACTAGTTCTGATGATGAATCTTCAGTCAGGGTGGCCTACTTTGGGAGGTGTTTTGTTTTGACATGTCCCTGTAGCTTATAGATACAGATGTCACCTGTGGGAACCTAACACTGGGGTGGACTAAACAACAGTCTGTACTGCACTGTTACTGTACCTAAATTATTTTTTATTTCAATTCTTTCTCTCGTATGGTTTACCTTAAATCTCAAGGTTTCAGTTTTACTCGTTCTTTACCACTAACCTTCAACTCATGTGGTAGGAAGAATGACTATTGTTCTTGGTGTGGTGCAACGTCGTAATGAGGGAAAATTGTTCTTTTCTGTATATGTGAGCCCCTAAATTGAAGAGTGCAATATAGTTAAGATATTACAGATGTCTGATCCAAGTGTTAAAATATTTCATGGGCACATTTGGTAAGACAAATGTAAATTGAGGCTATGAAACCTGCTCTTCTGCTTTTTCTTCTATTTCTAGACTGGGACATTTTGTGTACCACTGAAACTGTATGTGTTCATTCTGTCTAATGTTATTATTACTTTGCATTTCTTATACCCATGTACCTTTCTTCTCTCTGCTTTTACGTCACTATGGTTGCATATTTTACAACTTTGGTGAAGTGCCAGGGACTTTGCTAATTCTGTCCAAAATGTACAAAATAATTATGTGATTTTTTTTTCTTTTGTTTATTTATTTATGTATTGTGTGTGTTCCAATTTGGCTTGTTGTTAGGCCAGCAATGCTATTTTAACTCTTGCTTTAGATCAAGCCAGTTGTTTTGAAAACTGTTAAAATTATTTAGAAAGTTAAACTTATTCAAAGCACTTTCATTTAGTTGACACCGGTGATGTGTGGACTTTTCAGTGTGCAATCTATTAAAATGAAATACCTTAACTTGAAGTATTACATTTTAAAATTATCTTATTCTTATTTTACTTGGCATATTCATTTGTGATCTTAATTTTAAGCTATCTAGTTTATAATTTTTAACAATTAAAATTTTGAGTATTGGCCAACTGTTGCAAAAGAAATGGGCAGTTGGCTGTCTCTGTGGTAGTGCACCATATCATTTTATTCGTTGCATGCTTGCCTGCATGTAGGTTAAGTGTATAGCTAGTTTAAGACAGATTGAGTTGACTTGGAAAGAAGTCATTACTTACTCATTCCTTATTGGAGTCACCTTGTTTCTTGCCCAGTGAACGTCAACTGATTGATTGCCTTTGATTTGAATTGTCGTTTTTCTAAATCCGTACTTAAAGATATTTAATGATTGTAAATATAAATCAATTTGTTGTGTACCCAAAACATTTAGAAAGAGTGCAATTATTGAAACTGATCTGCAATAATCCATACTGTTAATATTTCCAAACACTAAATGTAATTCTTCTATGACATGCACCAATTTTGGTGCAGCAGAATTGAATACAGAATAAATTGAGACTATTTTGTTTCCAGATGCTTTACAACTGCAAACTTTTGGGACTATAAATTGCCTTTTCCATTACAATACACCATTTGGTGAAGGAAATATGTTTTATTTAAAACAGCACTCATGTTAGTTAAAACTTTTATAACTTAAATACCATTTTTACTTGATTCTAAGCCGCATCCGTTTTTCATCGCCTTTTTTCCCGATTTTGACACCCGAAAGTTGTGGTGTAACTTGAAATGCTTGGAATCGAGAACCCGCATCTAGTGAGGGTCTTATGGGAGTCATTTTTGTGACTACTCTGTAAAATTTGGGGTGCTGCTTAAAATCGCGTGCGGCATCGAATAATAAATAAGATAACTCTTGACCGTATGCACAAGCTCAGATAAGGTTCACTAACCGAAACCCTTACCTCCTCTGTGTATCGTGCCAGTATGTAAACCTTTGTTCATTCACATTATATGAATGAAGTACAATCTAATTCAGAAGACTGCAGTTTCTCATTCATTTGCTTAATTCAAAATTGTGATACCTGATTGCTTTTTGTTTTGTTGGGTCTTGTAGCCATTTTGAAATAATAAGAGCTGTAATCAGATAACATGTAGAATTGAAAATAAATTGCAGTTTTAACCAAGAACCTTTCAGAGGTGTCTGCAATTTTTATCTACTACCAGCTATGACGCACATTTCATGCAGTATTTTTATCCCTCCGTTTTCGAAACTGCCCCCCCCCCCCCCCTTTCCCCTTGAGCGAGAGCCAGGGAGCCATCCGGATATGTCCCAGATTCCCAGACTGTCTGATTGTCTGATTCCTCCCTTCCTCCCCTACCGCCTCGATCCCTTGGCTCCTTTGCCTCCCTTGGCCAAACAATGCGGCGAACCAAGTCCGATCTAGAAGGCCAATGCGACTTGCAGCAGCAGAGGGTGGGAGACGTCATCTTGGCCCTCCAAGCACACCGACGGCGCCGGCGCCCGCCAAGAAGAAGAAAGCCGGCCCCGGTCGGCAGCCACATGCGCCACCTGCAGCGAGGCCCACGCCGGGGGGGCTGGGGTTGGCCCGGGGGGCCCAGGAGGGTGCAGGGGTCGCGGATCCCGCCGCCGCCACCCGCCCCAGCAGACGGCCGGCGCTGGCCGTGGCCTGGAGGGCGCTGGCCGCGATGGGCGCCGTGCTGTGGGCCGTGGTCGTCACGCTGGTGCTACTCGTCGCGCGCCTCGCCGGCAACCTGGTGCGCCGCCGCGCCAACATCCTCCAGGACGTGGTGCTCGTAAGGATTGCCCCTGACAACCTCCCGAGTACACCTCAGAGGTTTCACACATGGCGGGCTGCAACATGCCTCACATGTTGGGTCTTCTAGAAAGTTTTTTCTTAGATTCCTTCGGCAAGTTGCGGGGATTGCGGGAGCTTGGCGCCTGCGAAACTCAGAATAGGCCACCCTGCAGTACACACATGTACTGTGTTGTGTAATGGTTCTTGATCGCGACTACTTGAAGATGTTGGACCGTAGGTACTTTTGGTCAGGAGGCGGTAGGAGAATAAGCAGCGCAAGGCAGGGTGACGTGACAATAGCAACTGATTTATTGGACCTTCGTACAGGTGTATTTATAAGACTTGACAGACGACACTCGACAGTGTTACCAACGTATGATTAATACACAACACCTCCCCTTTTAAAGGAAGAGAATAAAATAATAAAATACAAAATTTCAGCATGTACAAATAAGTAACAAATAGTTATAACAACTTAAGGGTTTTATAAACTTGAACAATTTTATCGCACTTTTACTTTTACCCGATGTCTTCTCCCTTCCCTTTTAAAAGAGTTTATTCTTACGATTAGATGTCAATGAAATATCACAGTTTGATTTGGGACTTTGACTTCATTAACTGAACATCAATGTTTGTTTGAACCTTGTAAGGCAACGTTAAAGTCAAAAATTATCACTGATAGCAAAATGAAACATGACAGGATGACTTTTAAAAATTAAGTAGTACATCACTAAGCTAACGAATGTTAAACAAGTACTCAAGGCACTGTGAGACCTACAAACGTGTCAACTAACTTCCGCACAATTTAAATAGACAAGTACAATGAAGTTTAAAATTGAATCTGGGTAAACATGAACAATAATGAAACTTGAGCCTTCATAAAACTTCTACATTAATGTTGACATATAGCATAAACACTTCAGAAATGAACTGATGTTGCATCACTCGTTGGGTAGCTATTAAAATTTAATTAAAATTTTAGCACCAAATATGTGAACAGTGTTAACTATGCAATTGAAACAAACTCAAAAAGTTTTGGAAAATCAAAAACAGTAGAGTAATAGAGGCATTTGAAATACCGATGTCAATGGTAGAAATTTACTTTAAGAGAACTTAGGCAGTATGGGGAAAAGTACAGAAGTAGTAAGCAAAATGCAAACTTTGTTATGACACCTTGACAGGTAACTCTGGGGCTTGGGGCTACAAACACTTATCTTTTATGCGTGGCAGACTCCCTCTTTTGACGATCCACAGCCAGTTCCATAACTGTGCCGTGGTTGTAGCCTTCATCGGACTTGAATTTCTTCTACCACCATGATTTTCTCTTCTTCGAGGTAGTGGAAGATCTTGATTTGGAGACAAAGTTCTTGGGTTCCGATTCATGGTCTTGATTTGGAGAGACAGTTCTTGGGTTCTCCGAGGGGTTATCTTCACTATTCACTATCTCGACGAGAAAACTATCCCTTGTTTCAATCAGGACGAAAGAAACGTAGGAAGAAAATGTTGCATTCTAACCTCTTGAACACGTGGCAATGACAAACACGACAACTTCACGAATCTCATACTCTTCATCGTCACCAAGCCCGATCTCCCGACTCGGAGGGCGAGGTGGGCCTAGGATGGAGCGGTTTTTCGCTGCCGGCTCTCTCCATCCAGAACGTCACCTTCAACACTCCCTCACTAGAGGTTTTTCTCTGCCTCTTGAGAGAAGAGAATCCACTTACTTTGTTCTTCCTCCGCCACTACGACTGCGCCATGTTGTGTAATGGTTCTTGATCGCGACTACTTGAAGATGTTGGACCGTAGGTACTTTTGGTCAGGAGGCGGTAGGAGAATAAGCAGCGCAAGGCA